TTCAAGGTACTATGGATTTTGGCATTGAATATGTGAAAGGAAAGTCAGCAGTTCTTATAGGATATTGTGACAGTGACTGGGCTGGGAGTATTGATGACATGAAAAGCACATCAGGGTATGCCTTCAGTCTTGGCTCAGGTGTGTTCTCTTGGGCATCAGTTAAACAAAACACAGTAGCATTATCCACTGCAGAAGCAGAATATGTAAGTGCTGCTGGAGCAACATCTCAGGCCAAATGGTTAAGATTCGTTTTGGAAGATTTCGGGGAAGAACAAGTTGAACCTACTGTGCTAATGTGTGATAACACTTCAGCAATAGCCATTGCCAAGAATCCTGTGTTTCATCAGAAAACAAGACACATTAGCAGGAAATTCCATTTCATCAGAGATGTAATACAAGAGAATGAGATTGAACTTGTTTATTGCAAATCCGAAGAACAAATGGCAGATATCCTGACAAAGGCTCTACCAAAGGAGAAGTTCAACTATTTCAGAGAAATGCTAGGAGTGAAGTCAGTTGCCAGCTTAGAGGAGAGTGTTGATGTTTAAGCCTTGCAGCTGTCTTGTGTTTTGTTGCATTCTGTCTTTCTGTAATTCAAAGTTTGTTTTTGTCTTAGTTTTGAAATGTAAGGCTGAGATTAAATCAATGCTAATAGGCTAAATGTATATGTGTCTCATGGTATAACATCTCACTTATATGTGAGCATGTGGGATTCACGTGAGTTTTGTAGCTTCTGTATCATGTCAATCATAGCTGAATGAAATCAAAAATTTCATAGAGCTCTTCATCTTCTCTGCATCAACATTTTTCGTGTGCATTTCTAGGTTGAAATCAAAACCTTGTTGAATTCTCCTTAGTTCTGTGCACTGCTCTGTTGTTTTATAGAACAACATACACGAGTAGGGTAATGTTTGGGCAGTGGACTTTTTTGACACGTGGCAAATGGACTTTTAACCATCTCGAGAAAAGTTCCTTGACAAATTACTCCTTCGGATAAATCATTCTACCACAATGACACATTTGTTTGTCAATTAAATTTTTTCCTCCTTGGGGCCAAAATTTTACCCGGTGAATTGTCTCTTCACCTACGAACCATGTTCATCATGTAAGAGCTTTCAGTCAACCCAGTTTGCTGACTAATACTGCCCTAACAGTGGCGATGTTTGTTGTGTAAGATAGCTTTAACCGACGAAATTGTTTCCGTCGCTGAAATTTTTGTAGGGCAAGCTAAAATTTCTGGTGTTGACATATTAAAACAAGATATGCTGTTTGTTTGAGCACATTAAAGAATTCAGTTTTTCAAAAGTACAAGACTATTGAGGAATTTGGTTTAAAATGGTTGAAAAATGGGAGAAGTTTGAGTGGAAGGTAAAAGTTTTATATTAGTAATATCATCTTTTGATGGTTAATGTATTATTTACATGTAGATGCTTGATGTGAGATAGTTGGGTTTAGTTTGCTTTCTTTTTCATGTAGAAACAAAGTGCGCAAAATGCGTGGAATAGGGAGTAGTCCACAATTGTGCACACAACAAGTTCAGTTTCAGTGATAACGTATAGAAAAGATGAGATAAAATACTATGTTTATGCTTTGTTTTCACACGGCCAGTTTTGCATATTTAAAATTTATTTAACGAATTTTATATTTTAAAATATTTTTACTTGATTGTACTAGAATTAAACCTAGCCCGATTGATTGTTCCAAAAAATTCCACTAAATAACTTTGTGTGTTGTCGCACTTTTTTATTACATGTTATTGTGTGTACAACCTATGCTAGAAGGAAAAAATGGACAATAAAAAGACTACCACAATGGAAGGACAAAATGAAGTGAATGATTGGATCATATACAAGAAGGTGATTGATGAGCCAAGTCATGATTCTCTTCTTGGTGTAGATGCTGGCTTTAAACTATCAACAATAGTATTCTCTTTCAAATGAAATTTGAGTCTATGATTAAGTCGTTACAACCTCTTAATGCCACCTTCGAGCATAACTGTATACAATAAGCAAACACTTAAATAAATCTAAACTAACAACATGACAAGAAATAGGACAACATAAGATGGACCATATATACTGATAGGAGCATATTTATGCGACTTTGTTAGCTTGTTTCTTTGCATTTAGTAAGTTAGTTTCTATTCATTATAGTGTTTTAAGCTATTTTCGTGTGTTTTTAGGTTCAATTGACAAAGTTGGCAAGAAAGTGCGACTTGAAGCATTTTAGAGCAGTTTTGGGCTTGGAATGGATTGCACATGCATGGAGCAAGGTGGATGGACGATTTGAAGATCAAGAGAGGCTAGGAATGTGATTAAGATCTAGAAGAATTAAATTGAAGACTTTGAAGATAAGGAATCAGCTACAAAGAAGGAATATTATCCAAATTTCCTTATCTTATCCAAACCTTATCCAATCTTATCTTATCTTATCCTATTCTATCCTAATCTTTTCCTACCTTAATTCCAACTTCAAAGAGGACTCCTTTTCACATTAATTCACCTAAATATCAGGTTCTAGAAGCCCTATTTTCGTGCATTAAGTTAATTCCACATGTAACCCTTTTAGAAGTTCTAGAATCTGCCATAAGGACCATTCCTTGTCCTCCTTGGAATCTGATTGAAAGTGTCCTTGTTCTTTGGTGATTTGGAGTCCTAATTCCTTTCCTTTTCAGCCCAATTTCGTGCCTCCCCTTCACCCTATAAATACATGATGCCACAACACTCGAAAACCACCACCCTTTACCACAAATTCACACCACAACATCCACCACACCTCAAGAGCCTAAATTCACACAAATCCCCATTGTTGGCAGCAAGGAAGGAAGGAGGAGCTACCTGGAGTGTTTCTAGGTGTATTCTATCTTTGTGTTTAATGTTTAAGTTTAATTATCTTTGTTTTACGAACATGTGGAACTAATTTCTTTTTGGTTAGAGGTGAATTCGAAGCCATGATTATATGTTTTATATGAATTGATTACGTCCAGTTATTGTTTCTTAAGGCATGAATGTGATTTGCTTATCTAAGTTATTAAAACTTGTTTATATATGTGGGTTGGGGGTCGACACTTAATTTGCATGCATGAATTTGATGCTAGAGTATAAGGGGGTTTCACGTAAGAGTTATTCACTTATATTCACAAGTAGTGGAGGTTGCTAGTCACAATCGTGTTAAGTAAATCCTTGGTATGAGTCTCATGTGTTTCATAGTGATGAATGCCTTGTCAATGCTTATGATTTTCATAGAACTGAATGACTTTTGACATGTATCTCTATCATGCGTTTCATATAGGGAACTTGAGAAATATAATTTGGTTTAGATGCGTATTCCATCTAATTCAATGAAATAAGGAAAATTTGATGGTTAGTTGTGCGATGCAACTAACTTGGGGCGTTATCATTCATAGTCTAAAGGAATAATAACTGGAAATTGGTTCATATGCATATGGGTCATGTGTGGAGAAGGACCCTCTAGCTAGCTTATCACCCATAGTTTTCCCCAATTTCGTCCAAGTTGTTTAAGAGTCTTTAATCTGCTTGTCTTTACCTTAATTTCGTCCAAAATCCAATCCCCCTTTACTTGGTTGTGTCTTTTAGCTAGAATTTGTCCAAATTTATGTTTTTAAGTGTTTTGAGTCAAGTTAAAAGTAATTTTTGTCCAAATCATCCTTTAGTGTCTAGTTTGAGTCTATTTGATTATTTTGTGTTGTTTTGAGTCTTTTTAGTTTGTTTTGAGTCATATAAGTATAATTTTCTATTTTTGAGCCTAGTTTAGTGTTTTAGAGTTTAATTTGAGTAAATTAGCATCCCTTCTAATCCCCGGCCTAAAACAATCCCTACTTTCATATACTACAATCATAGGGTTTTAATTTGAGTGTGTCAAGTTATTTTTCACATCATATACATCAACTTGGAGATGGAGGGAGATTTTGAAGTCCTTATTGATGTTATTAACGGTGTAATTTTCATTTGACATTGAATTTCATTATATTTATCAGGAATAAACTTTGTGGCAAATGCTCTGGTTTGGATCTAGCGAAAATCTTTTGGTTTCGGTCTAAAGAATTGTGATTTGAGTCGTAAGTATCATTGATGCTCTTGAGGATGTTTTGAGACATTGACCTTTGGTGTCATGCAGGAAAGCATTACTACGATTAATTAAGCTAATAATTTTTTTCTTTATTCTGAACAAATAATATTATTTATACTAAGGGGTAGGGAAGTGGGTTAAGCCTCATAATGAGCTAGTAATAATGTGATTCAAATTCGTCTTTGGCGAAAATCGAACCTAAGACCTCTCATTTACAAGTGAAGAGGAATACCACTAGATCGTAGAAAAATATGAGTTATGGAAATTAATAAAAATAATATTTTATTATCTACATGAATTGAGATTAAGGGACCAAGAAAAAATGCAATAAAATAAAATAAAACTTCATGGGGAAGGGTACAGTAAAAATTTATATATGAAAGTTAAATGTAAAACAAGATGAAATTTTGAACGGCGCAAGGCTATGAGTACTACATATGTGGATATAATCTCAACAGAACAATGTCCCATCGATGTATCTTATAACATACATAAAAATATGGCTTTTTAATCAAAATGATCATTGAAATTTGTATAATTCCTCACTTTGGTCCTTAAAATTTGAAATCAATAGAATTGTTCCGCTGAGTTTGTCTACCATCAATCATTTTGATCATTCCGTGAAAAATCTCCATTAAAAAAAGAATAAAATAACCAAGGTACCCTTAATTTTTGTCAAATCATTTTGGCCCATTGTTTATTAAATTGAGAGTATATTTATCATTTTGATCCTTATTTAACATAATTTTGCACATAATAACCAAAATGATTGATAATGAACAATCTCAGAGACCACTTTTATTAATTTCAAATTCAAGGATCAAAATGATGTGTTATGCAAATCTCAAGGATCATTTTGGCTAAAAACCCTGCAAATATATAGGAGAAATGGAACTTCATTTATGCTCAACTCACTTGACTGGAACAATACTTTCCACATAAATAACAGCTTGGAAATCTCTAACCTCATTGAGAATAGGAGGAAGATGAAAATAGCTGAGATTTTTGGTACTAGAATTATAAGAGGTGACTCTTCCATCGCAGGAAACCATAAGAAGCTCCTCACTTTTCCAAAATGCCAATGGATTCTCATTAATTCCTTTTAAGGGTCCAACGGTTAGGAGTTTTGTCCATGAATTCTTAACTCCGTTGTAGTCATCCATAACCCATATTTCACATAATGTAGAATCCTCGTTCTTTGGATCATAACAACAGCAAAACGAAGCAATGGATTCATTACACAGAAAAATATTATAAAATTTAAAACCAAATTCTCTCCTAGAAGGCAATTGTATTATATGAAATATTTCATCACTTAAATCAAATGCAAGTACGTATTCCTCGCCATCGTTTGCAAGCCAATAACAAAATCCCTTCAAGTATTCTGAACCATAACACTGATAGGTTTTACTTGATATCTCAATCTTGATCTCTTTCCAAGCGTTAGCAGCCGTGGTGTATACCTCAGCCGTGTGAGGAAGAGCAATACGATGATAATATCTTCGCTCGTCATCTGAATACTCACAATTTTCTATAATTTGCACAACCTTGTATTCTTTAGCTTTGTAATCATAGCCGAATCCTAATCCTTCAAAGATCGTCTCCAATTGGAATTTTCCATCCGGAGGGGAAGGGAGAAGAAGGCATGAATCAGGAAGTTGCCTGAATTCCCGTGTTGCAGGATTGCATAAAATACGAACACTTTTCCCTGTTATTACACAAACAATACCATTGCAATAACTGTGAATTTGCACTGGATGATGGTCTTCCATTGGAAACGGTATATTTAGGTCCTTCAAATCATAATGAAGGTTGTACTCATCACTATAGTTGGAAAGATTCATCATGGACCATAAAGTTTCATATTTCCAACTCTGGTCCGGGAAAACGTGCATCTGAGTACGGTTGAGAAGGATACAAGTGGAGAATGAGAGTTTGTTGTCCACGGAATTGCTGAGGTATTTGGCCACAAAACTTGGACTATTGATGAGACTGCACCAAGACTTACGTATGCATTTGAATCGCATCAGAGACTTGGGCGGCAACCTAGATAGGATTTCGACCACCCTATCTTCAGGAGTTTCACTGTCATGCACCAGGGACATTGCGGCAGTTTTGTTCAACATGAATTCTTCACATGTATATATACACAGAAAAGAACACCACCAGTTTGAGAGCCAAACTAAATCAAACTCCAAATCCCTAAGGCCTAGTAGATCAAGATTCAATTACTAACATATTACCACATAAGATGCTAAAATTCAACAATATTGAGTTCCACAACCACAACATATATAGCTATCAAAAGAACCCGGTCAATTTCGAGTTTTACGGGGAATCAAATGTTCAAATTTTACTATTTTTAATTTTTTTTTTTATTTGATACAAAACTAACCGTTCAAATTTACTGTTTAATTCTACATTAAATTGATAAAATTAAAAAAATAAAGATGAAAACCTAATTTTTTTTCTCTTAGATATTAGTAATAGACGGATTTTTAATGTTTTCTTTCTCAAAAATCATTTTTGATATTAAATACAAAAAGCATTCCTAAATTGTTTTCACAAAATTGTTTTGTAAAACGTTACCCTTACTTTACGCAGACTTTTCATGCATATTTTAAAGAATCTGTTGTATAATTCGATCTTATTTCTGTACACGACAGACTAAAAAGTTAGAATAAAATAATGTACACACACCTTACAGAAAATGCAAAGTTAATATATGATCTAGAAACAAGTATATGTTTGTGTATTGTGATACATCATATCTATGTTAGAATTCTTTTTTTGACAAACAATAGTGTTAGTGGAGCAAATTGTGAAATATTAGGGGATAAGGGATCGGTGAGAATTGAACTTGTACCAAGGGAGCATATGACGTATTCCCTTCCACCACTGTAGTAAGTGTCATCTGCTTTGTTTTAGAATTAATAAACACACACATTATTGTTGTCGAATAACCAAAAAATAAAGAAATATAAGGTGCGCGTGATATTAAAAGTGGTGTATGAAATTCAGTTCCCTTTTTGTTTTTCTTGATGTACAATTTTCATTATAACTTTGAAAACAAGTGAGACCAATTATCATTGGTGTGTTGACCTTGTGGGAAAAATGTAGCAAAACAATTTCTTGAATTCATTCTTCGTATATATAAGATGGATCATGGACTATAGATACATCACCATAGAGGTGGAGGGAGATATAGAAGTCCTTATAGATGCTGTATTAAGGTGCCATCTTAATTCCTTGGTAGACAACATTAAGAAGTTGGCTTGTAGATTTATCGGGAACAAACTTTGTGGCAAATACTCTGGTTGATGATGTGTTCTTCGTGTAAGATCGTTTGGTGGCGAACTCTTCCCAATGAGGCAAGATAAACTTGACTGCGGGACTATTTCAATTTAAGTTACGTAAGAGACTTTTTCTTGTAATTATTTTTCCTTGTAAATTTAATAGCTTGGTTTTCTAAACACTAATTTGAAAAGTCATAGAGCTGACATGTGGACTTTTATTCACTATTGATGAAAATGTCTCCATTAGTTGACGAGGCTCATATTTATTCCATCGGTAGTTCGACCAAATTAGAAGCCATGATATGCTGACTACAACTAATGCAAGATCAACTGCCATGACAAGGAAGATAAATGTGGGACTATGATTTTCTAGGGCTAGAGTAAGGCTGATCCGAATATAGTTACCTCAGGCTGATCCAAATACAGTTACCTTAGAAGTCCGATCATGCACTCAGCAGCTCCGGGCAGAGCTGTATTAGATGGAGTAGTAGTGCCACCATCACTCTACTCCGGGGTACTAGACGGAGTCTTAGCGACTAAGCTAGATGACTATGCTTGTTCTGCAAGACACACGATCTGATTCGGATATGGACATAATTAGATCCTATAAGTCTCTGAGTTCTTACATTCTATGAATTAGCGTGCACCGCAAGTAATCATAACTCTTAAGATGATACAATATCTACTTTCAGATATCTTATAGGATTTTCCCGGCTTAGAATGAGGATTTTATCCAAAAAATGTTTCTCCATATGGTATAAATACACCCATCTAGTGTTCATATGTGGTAATGCAATCTAAACACTTGAATTCTCTTGCCCACTGCTTGAATCTAAAATCATTCACTAACTTGACCGTCAGAGAGCCTTTGACTGGCATAACTTGACCATTGGAGAGTCTTTCGCTGACGTAACTTGACCGTGGAGAGCCTTTGGCTGGCATACACCGTCGGGTCTTAGGTTTGGTTATGGTTTTTTACTGTTTTGTAGGTTGCTCAAGTTTACACTTAACCACCACTCACGACGGTTCACAGATTTGGTTCTAAAAATTGTTGCTTTCATTGATAATGAACTCATATTCATCCCATCCAAACCACTCTGTCAATTGATATGTCAGCAGACTCAGTTAACCACATAGGCTTTGTCGCCTTCCAGGGCAATATCTATCAGGAATATGACGGAGTCGTCGTCATTAACGAGATGTGGGAAGAAGTCATGGAAATCCGTTTGTCTCTAAAAGGGATCCAACGAAGTCCACTGGCTGAGAACCTGCTAGACTAGTCGTCATAAAGGCACGCATCAAAAACCTCAAAGAAGCTATTATTCATTTGGAAGAACTGGTTGCCCAAATGACAAAGGTGATTAATCTGACATCCGAGGAGTCGTCTCAATGCCCTATCCCAAAGAAACATCATAGAAAATCCAATAGACTTCTGAGTCTCCATCTTGCGCAATGCTCAAGGGAAGAAGCATCCTCTGAGGTGAACTGCATATACGATGAACAAGAATATCTAGGAAACACCCAGAAAGAAAAGAAGGTGGCATGCAAGAAACAAAGAATGGTGGATGTCATAATAAAACCACTGGCGATGGATTCTAACATCCTGATGTTTTCAGATCATGATTTTAAAAAACGTCAATTCACCTTATGACAATGCCCTTGTTGTCAAGTTCCAAATCTCAAACTCCTTGGTAAGCCACGTCTTGGTCGATAATAGCTTAGAAGTCAGTGTTCTATTCAAAGACACTATCGAAAAAATGTGAATCCTTAATAGCATCAACAAAGGGAACCAACCTTTCACACCTTCAACAGGGAACCAATGCAATTTCTGGGAATGGTGAAGCTAGCGGTCCAAGCATAATCTTATAACCACCTGGTGACTTTCAACGTAATGGATTGGCTAACTCCCCCACAAAGCCATTCTTGGCCAGAACTAGTTATATAAGATGAAGTTGTTCTGTCCACTTATCACTAATTACTCTGTTACTCGGCTCCCATATAAGTAAAAGAAATCAAAGGAGATCAATGGCAGTGCATTGCTACAGAGTTACTGATAGAAGCATATTCATGCGACTTAAATGGCTTGTTCTCGTACATTTACGTTATGTTTCTTTAGTTATTTAGTCCTTTATGCTTCTTTTGTGTGTTTTCAGGATCATAAGACGTGTTAGACGAAAGGATGCATTGTGGAGTGTTTTGGGGCCTTTTGAAGCACTATTGGGCTAAGGATGGATAGCTTATGCTTGGAGCCCAAGTGTTGGATGAAATTAAAGGCCTTGTTTGCACTTGAGGACACAAAACAATGGCCCTAACCCAATTACATTCAACTTGCCGTGGGCTTAACACAAACACCATTCCTTGCCATGCAAGGGGGAGCAATTTGGGTCCATTTCATGCACTTAAACCCTAGCCCAATTACACACCATTGCAGCCAAATCCATTCTTTGCCATGCAAATTCACCACCAATTCAACCACATGCACTTATTCCTCCATCATTGCACAACATTGCAGCCACATGCACCAAAAACTACACTATGCCGTGCCTTCCACATCAATTCCAGCTTGTCTTCATCATTTCGGCCACTTTGCCCTTTTATTTATGCATTAAACCTATTTCCTTTCCCTAAATTGCAGCCACAATCCACACCTTTCCAACCTAGCTGCACCCTACATACATTAATTAGTCATTCTTTTCATATTGCACTCACATGCATTCACATGCATTTCAAGCACCAAAACACACTCATTTGCCGTGCATTCCCAATTCCTTTCCAACATCTCACATGCATTTCCACCTTCCTACTTCATCATTTCACCACATTCTCCCTCTTTAACTCACATGCATTCATCACCAACCAACCTAGTTGTCATTCATATGCATTCATCATAATTCACAACACAAAACAGCCACACAAACACACTCCTTTGCCGTGAGTTTCCCTTGCCATTTTTCAGCCATCACACTTCATCATTGCAGCCACCATTCACCCTAGTTGTCAATCACATACTTTCCCATTATATAATTCATCCACATGCATCTTTAACCAACAAACAAATCAGCCACATACACACAAACACACCCTTGCCGTGCAATCCCATCACAATTCCAGCTTTCCAACCTAGCCACATCCACATGCATTCACTCATAATGATTCACTAACATTGCAGCCACATTTCCACCCACTTCCTAGCTGTCATGTTCCCTCTTATTTACCTATAAATAAGCATCCATTGCAGCCACAATTCATTCATTCCATCAACCACAATTCACTCTCCACCTTCACAACACAAAACACATTCTCCCTTCCCTTTGCCGTGGCCTTCCTTTCATTTCCATCACTCCCCATCCCCTTAAAACACTACCCAATCCATTCAACACACCAACAACATCCCTTAGACCTTATGCTACAACGAAGAGGAGGAGAAGAGTGCCTAAACGTTCATACAATTCAAGTTTGAGTTGTTGGAATTTTTAGGTGTTGCTTTTCCTCGATTCCAATGTTTAATTTCAATTCTCTTTGTCTTGTACGTATGAGGAACTAAACCCCCCTTGGCTAGGGGGGGATTCGAAATACATGTTTATGCTTGCAATATGATTTGATTACTTCTAATTGCGTTTCATAAGTTGTGAATTCAATTTGTTTAACTATTTGATTGATAACCTATTTATGTATGTTTATTGAGAGTGCACGCTTAATTTTCATGCATGAATATGACGCTAGAATATAAGTGAGTTTCACGTAATAGTTATGAACTTATATTCACAAGGAGTGGAGGTTGCTTATAAACACTCGCGTTAAACAAATTCTTGGCATAAGTTTCATGCAAT